TTTAATTATATATATATATATATATATTCCAACTTCGTCCTGTCTTTAACTTCTTGGGGGGTGCAACATATATGAATTCAGGGAATATTTTGGAGGGTGCAGAAAAGGATTCAATTGTATAATGGAGTTGGAGAGGACAGAACACAAACCCCGCTCCGTGCTCTCTATTCTGCGCAACGTATTGGGAACTCATGATAAGGAGTGTGGAGTCAGCTGCGGCATACAAAGCGATCCGATTCCTGGAAAGTTTCGAAAAAGAGCATCCTACCCCTCCAGGGCAGGTCCGGTTTGCTGCATATCGACCGATGGCATGTTTTCTTTGCATGGAAATATAGTGACTGTAAATGATGCAGAAGAAATTTCCATCAATGTTACTGGTGCATCGAGTAGTTTGCCATGTGGCCATTTCAATCTCACCCGTATGTCGATTCCCAGGTTTGCCGCACCAAGCAGTGGACTGTCTTTAGGAAAAAGACAATTGGGCACTACTGATGAAGGCGGGAGTGCGGCATATGTGGTCCGTGGCCGGGCCTTAAAGATGACTATCAAGGGGGAAAAGATGCTTCACATGGAGAGCTGGTTGAGTGAGCAGCGCATGGTTGGAGCGGGGAACAGTTAACGTACTGATCCTGACCATAATCCACACTGGAGCAGTGATAGGAACCTCGTCGAGGACAGTAATGGGACTGAGACGTGGAAGAGAGATAGAGGCGTTTGCTCCTGCCTCTAGGCTCAGCTTTTAATTGTTCTTATGTGTGCACGGAGGCGATGCAGATGAACGAGTAGTGCAAGGAGTCCTTTTGCCCGCACTGCGGGTGTGCGCGTCTGCGCGTGTGTTGTGCCTACAACGCTCGTAATTGCAGCATAGTTATGTATTGGGCACATTAGACGCGATGGGAAAATTACGGATATATATGTGACACCTTCGCGGCAAAAGGCAGCGCAAGACAAATAAAAAGAAATGAAATAGCAAACAACAAAGAAAAATTTCAGTGTCATGCGCTAATTCCTTGCTTGATGTTTTTTTTTGTTTTTGTTTTTTTATTTGGCCAAAACCACTTTTTTTTTGTGTGTGTTTTTTGTAGGAATGCTTTTGTGGTTTTTCTTCCGCGGCTCAGTGATTCTCTTGCGGAGAAGGTATCACTTATGCCAGAAAAGAGCTAAGAAGGTGAACGATGCCACCCAAGCAAACACATAACCAGAGGAACTTCTTAAAAATTTGAACTTAAAAGAACCGGCCCGAGGAGGGAGGAAATAAAATAAAATAAAATAACATAAAAAAAAACAGTGTGGTTCTGTCTAAAGCCCCATGGAGGTGAGGTAGTGGGCTGGGGGTAACTTGGGGCACACGAAGTTTCATCCGTGGCCACTACTCTTCTGTTTCCATTGGTCGCACTTTTTTTTTGTTTTTTGTTTCGTGTTCATTCATATTACGCGCGATGAAGATCTGGAATTGCTGTGGCTTTTCTGGACGTCTTTTTTTTTTTTTTGCAAGGTGCTATTGTCGCTCGTAGGTGTCCTGCAATTTCTCCATTTGTTTTTTGTTCTTTTCCCGTGAGTTGGCTGATCTTGTGTGCTTGAAAATAAGCCTCTCAATTTTCGTATTTTACCTCACTGGATGGGGGGGGCGTCGTGTGGGTAACCGCAAGAAACATCGTGCGCACCCCCGCGATGGAACTTGTACACCACGATCGTCAGTGGACTTTTTTGGTTTGCTTGTGTATGTGTATTTTTTCCTCTTTTTTTTTGTGCACGGGAATAGGTGCGTTTCCTCCTCTTCCTTTTCTTCCTTTTCTTCCATGCTTTTCGGTGTTGGCGTCTTACTACAGTCACGCATGTAACCACGGCTATATGCAGTGAGCTGGGGGTTTGAACCTGAATTATTATTATTATTTTTTTGTACGACTGTGTCAGCAATGGGGGCCACGTGCAAAAAAAAGAAAAAAGAATGAATTTTTTTTTCCTTTTTTTTTTTTGGATGGCATGTGCCTTCTTAATTACGCAGAGTTTTTGCCTACATTCATATGTATTTATGTATGATTGGTCCATGTACGTGGTGGGGGTTATGTAGGCTCACATTTAATGCAGTAACCGTGTGTCTATCGTGCGACATAAGCGTACAACAGTTACGGAGGTAGTGGTCTTATTGAAAATGGATCTAATAAAGGAAGAGGGAAGATAGAACGCCGACATACACGTGACGTCGCACAAATGAGTACCTGCATTGACAGTTACGTAGATGTGGCGTATAAAAAAAAACAAAAGAGAGAGAGAGAGAGAGAGAGAGAGAGACATGAACGGCAAAGGTGAGTTTTTTATTGGGCAAGGTGGGAAACATTGTGTGCTTCCGTTTTACAGGAGCGTATATCTATCTATCTATCTATATATATATATATATGGTCTTCAGAGTGTTTAACCTCTTTGTTTTTGTTTTTTTTTGTGTTTTTTTTATTTGTTTCATGTTTATTTTGTTTACTTTGTAAGATTCGCAAATGTGTGTTGAATCTGCGGTGTTTCTGTTCTTGCAGGTTTTTTATTTGTTTTCTACTCCCCTTAACATTTTTACCTTCAACAAAAAATGGGGGAAAAAAAGGAATATTTTTTGGGTGAGACATTCCCTTCCTTACACACAGACTCAGCACCTTGTTTTTGTTGTTTGGGTTTTCTTGTTTTGTACTACTGCTTTCACGCAGAATTTAACTCTGCGCCTTTGTGTTGTTTTGGGATGTGCCGCAGCAGTCGGTAACCATGCAGTTAAATGAAACTACTGCCAACAAGCTGCTTTGCCCCACACGAAGACTAAGGAAATGTGGGGATGTACATCTGCTTATGTGAGTGTGTCCGTCTGTAAGGAACGTCTGGTGTGCAGTCTGCAACTGCTGTCAAGTCTATCCTCAGTGTGCTGTAGTGCCTAATTATTATTATTATATCTTTTGTTTTCCTTCTATAACTTTACATGGGCTCTGCTTTGGCTGCTACTTGCTCTGCTGCCATGTGTGCTGGCGGCAGAGGGCGACAGGCGCCGAAATATTGTGGAAACGAAGCGGACACATTGACGCTGTACGGAGATAATTGATGGAGGGAGATCAGGAGGTGCGGGGAGCAAGAGAGGAGCACACGTTTGATGACCACGAAGCGGCGTTTCTCACTCCGCGGCTGTCCATTTTTTCTGGTGACACTCAAACTTACACGGCGCCGCAGGGGGATTACAGTGGGGGCCATGATGCACACAAAGAGGAGCCAATGAATCTCTTTCTTGACACGGAGGAACTGCAGGATACAGCTGAAGATAATGCCATGCTGTTCCGTGAGCACATGAATGGCGAAGGGGAAACAATACGCATGCAGCAGGGGGGACAACAGGAACTGAATGCGACAGAAGACGGCGATTCCGCCCTTGACGCTGGTGTTTTCTTTGTAGGTCAAGACGACAACGATGCGGATAGCGTTGATGTGGACAGTGAAGGAGAGATAAATGTGGAGACGGACGAGACTGCGCTTGATCCAGAGCGGTTGCCGTATGATGATGTGGATGATGATGATGATGATGATGGCGGCAATGCCGCTCCGCAGAAAATGGTTAGGGTCACCTTCCCCTTGCCGCGTGTGCGAGAACTGCTGAAGTTTCACAGTGACTTCTCCATTGTGGCAAAAGACGCGGCCGTGGTAGCTGGGGAGGCGGTGGTGTTGATGCTGCAGGACTTGACACGTCTGGCGGCGGCGGAGGCAGAGCGGCACAGACGAAAGAGAGTCACGTACGCGGATATAGCTCGTGTGGTACATTACTTTGACCGTTACTCCTTTTTGGCGGACGCCGTTCCATCTGCGCAGGAAGTTGCGAGTGTCGCAAAGACAGTAACCGTCGGTCCTGCCAACTCTTCCCTGCTCGAAACACCGGCTAGCTGCAACGTTGCTCGGGAGGGGGCGGTGCGACCAATGCTGAGGGCAACGGGAAGTGGGGGCGGTGGCGCAGGTATGCGACAGACGAAACTTCGCTTCTGACACTGTTTGGACGTCTATTTTTTTTTTTTTCTGCTCACCCTCGCTTTTTTCTCTTTCAGTTCCTTTGCTGCTTCCCAATCCTGCATGCTGCTATTGACTTTTATTGCCGTTGCTATGTGTGTGTTTTTGTGGATGCGCCCTGATTGCTGACCTCCTACTCTCTTGAGGTCGTGTGCTGAGAGTGGGTCTCACAGTCCGTCCGCACCATACCCCAGTTAGCGCAAGAAAAGGACGTGGCACGCCTCCTTTCAAGACGAAAAACAGAAATTAAATAGCAGCAGCAAAAACTGCGGGACGACATCAAAACCAAAAACAAAACAAGACTCGCACACACAAACCTACCAAACAAAAGGTATATATATATATATATATATATATATGAACACCTCTTCTACTCCGCACCAAGAGCGGGATCGTCCGCCGCATTTGATGTCAGATGAGGAGTTGCGGCAGGAGTACGTGCAGCTCTGCAGGATGAATGCCTCCCTGAACGAGGAGTCTGCCTCTCTTCAGTCGGAAATAAGCGCCATTTATGAGGAGTCCGTTCGTTTTCAACAGAGTACGGAGGTCGAGGAGGATAAGGTAGCGAATCAGTTGCTCCGTCGTCTTCAGTCCGAGGAGCAGCAAAAACGCCGGCTTCTTGACCTTATTCGCCGTGAGGAATCCTCTCGCGAGCAAATCATGAAACAAATTTCCCAAATTAGGACCGAAAAAACAGACTTGGCGGGACAGATGGGTCAACAGGAGTCATTGATGCTTCAGCTGCAGAAAAAGTTGATGGAAGTGGTGACGAAAACAAATGAAGTGAAACGTGAACTGCTGAAGGAACGTCGTAGATACTTGGAAGTGCTCTCCACGCAATTGAATTACCTTAAGGAAGGGTCTCTCAATGAAAAGAACGAGGAACAAAGGCCCAAGGTTGGCGAAAACGCAACCTCAAACGAACTGGAACCAATGGAAACAGCCTCACTGAAGGCTGACGATAAAATAATTGGTGTTACTACTGCCTCTGCTGCGTTTGATGCTGCTTCAACTGACACGAATGTGGCTATCAATCATCTGGAGAAGCAGCTCAATCGGCTTCTTTGCGAGCATGCTGCTGCGGTTCAGGTATCGACAATAAATGAAATGCTTTGTGCAGAACTTGCAAAAAAACTGGGCACCATTCAGCAAGCGGCTTTCTTAGATCTTGAGCGAGCATCCAAACTGGAAGAAGAACTCAAGGCAACCAAATCACGCGTAGCAGTACTGGAACACCATGCATCTCATAGGGACGGCTCGGTCATTTCAGAGGACAGCTCCGGTCTGCCCACACCGACGCTGAGTTGCGTTAATAACAAATCATTGCGTGATCGTACAGTAGAAGTCCTGTCGTCGCGTCAGTGCGAGCCAAGTAGCAGTATTCAAGCCTCACTAGATGAATCTGAGACGGGGGACGGTGCGCCCTCTTCTTCATGAAGGTTTTTCCACTTATTTTGCCTTTTCATTGTCTCCAGAACGAGCTTCGTTTGCTTTATATGTCTGCGTGAGAACGAAAATTAGAGAGAGGACAAGAGAGAGGGGACAGAGTGGGTTAACGGGACGGGGAAAAGTGTTACTGGACCAAAATGCATAGAAGAGGGGTGAGGAAATAGTCACGTCGTTACGACACAAGCAAAACAACGAAAAGGGAAGACAACATGGAGGCAGGAGTACCCTACTTGGAAAGTTTGTTTTTTTTTTTAGTTGTTGTCATTCTGCAAATGTTGTCCTTTTTTTTCGTGTTTTTTTTTTCCATGGTTATTTCTCCTTGCTTTTCCCTTTTTTTTTTGCTTTATATTTTCGTTCGCATTGTGAGCGAGAGTCGCTGTGTGAGACTGTGGTTTCCGCTTCTTTCCACGCCTTTTTGTTGCATTTGGATCCTTTTTACGTGAATCAATAAAAATATTTATTTAGTTTTTTTTTCTTTTTTTTTCCTCTTATCCCGCTTTTGCGGTTGGCACGTCAATTTTTATCTGCGGGCAATGGGCGGCTTGCCCGTGGTTCTCTGCGTATGGGTGAGTGCCATAGTTTTTTCCGTCGGGTGATTTGCACTTCTCCCCATTGATTTTGTGTTGGTTTTTGTGTCTTTTTGACTTGCTGAGGCGTGTGTGTGTGGAAGGGAGGGGAGTATTCTGATGAATCCCTCGCGGCTCGTTCTTTCCCAGCACCTCGTTCTGCTCGTGGAGAGGCAGTCGAAGCGAATGTAAGCAGCAAAAACACGTACTTTAAAGAAAAAAAAACGCACAAAGTAGAGGCTGCGGGTGAGAAAAGCATAAATAATAACAACAACCTTATGTGCGAATTGTACTTGGACTTATTGAACTTCCCTCCCCTCCCCTTTTTTAAATTTTCTTTCCAACCACTTTTTCTTTTTTGTGTTTTTCTTGTTCACTGAATGTTTTTCTAACGCCTAACGACGAACTACTGCAGCAACTATTCATGTAA